GAAAGCTACTTTGTCAACGCCCATATGTCCGGAGATAGCTGCACCTGCGGTTGGGCCGTACCCGGGAATGAGGTTGACTACTCCGGGAGGGAATCCTGCCTAAATGATAATATATTCTTTGAAACAGGAGGATCTATTTGCTACGATACCTCTTTGATGAGACTTGCTACGTGAAGAGCTGAGAGAGGTGTTTGCTCTGCGGGTTTCATAACAACGACGTTACCCATAGAAAGTGCAGGTCCAAGCTTCCATGCTTGCATCAAAAGGGGGAAGTTCCACTAAAAACATGCATCCTAGATAAATCGTAACAATGGGTGCAAAATTCCGCGATCCCCTTAGAGTTTCTTGGTTTCTCGTTTTCGAGACAAGAAGCGTGTAATTTACAACAGAAGTCAGGTGTACTTTGGGCTGTGAGCGTCTAGAATGACAGTATTTTTCTCTTTTATCTGAAACATTTTATCCAACCCGCCTTCGCCTAATTGCCTCAATCCTTTTTGAATAACCTTATCTATTGTAGCAGCTAAAGTTAGTAAAAGATCAAACCACTCACGGGAATAATCTGCCCACAGATTCCGACTGGCTCATGTCGCGTGTAGGTAAAGTAGTCACCGCGGATAGGGATAGTTTTTCCGTGATTTTTATCAGCGAATCCGGCATAATATCTAAATATCATCTTTGTTAATTGAGTGCAATAACAGCCATTGACTAGCCTTATGCATGCAATTGACAATGCTACATCAGCCGCATATGCCACACCGTATGGTTTTCCATTATCGAGTGCTTCTAGCGACTGTAATTAAGCATTCTAATTGTAGCTTAGCAACTATAGTTAATGAAAGTGCCTCTGCCATCTGGATAATAGCGAGGATAATACACTTCTAATACCACTATTATTTGGCATATAACACAGTTATCGAGCGCACATATCAAATTTTACTCTATGAGCAATTTGCGTGAATTTTATCAGCAGCGACCGCTCAAACTACAGCTATCAATTTTACTTACTGCAAGAATAACATGGTCCCGTTCCATGAGATCTGCAAGTTTGTTCATGAGAATTCCACGTTGGGCTGCATCCATGGTGCGCCATGGTGAACCAAGTCTGAATGCTTCAGTTGCCGCCTGCAAAATATG